TTGTTATTTATTATAACTGTTGTTATATTTATTATAACTGTTGTTATTTATTATAACTGTTGTTATTTATTATAACTGTTGTTATATTTATTATAACTGTTGTTATTTATTATAACTGTTGTTATTTATTATAACTGTTGTTATATTTATTATAACTGTTGTTATATTTATTATAACTGTTGTTATATTGGTTATAACTGTTGTTATTTATTATAACTGTTGTTATATTTATTATTAGTGTTGTTATTTATTATAACTGTTGTTATTTATTATAACTTGTTATATTTATTATAACGTTATATTTATTATAACTGTTGTTATTTATTATAACTTGTTATATTTATTATAACTGTTGTTATTTATTATAACTGTTGTTATTTATTATAACTGATGTTATTTATTATAACTGATGTTATTTATTATAACTGATGTTAGAGTAGAGAAACTTTGGACTGCAGCTGCCTGGAGTGTTCATGTGCCACTTCAGTCCTCCGTGGGGGGTTCCTCTGAACATGTCCACTCTGAGACCTGGACTCAGAAACCTTCAGGTTCAGAGAGGATCAGGACGTTGTCTGTAAATGAACGTTTCACGTCGTGTAAACGAGGCTCAGACTGGCTGCCCTGCCTGTCAGTCAAGAGACAAAGATATATGGATGATTGGCCAACATCTATTTTTAATGCCATGCTGTCTACCCAGAATACCTTGGAAATCCACCGGCAGATCGCCATCGACGTATTGGGCACCCCTGACTTAAACTAATAAATTGTACCTAATAGATGTTGTCTCTGGTTCAGGAGTGGCTGGACTTGAGGAATGCAACATTTGTAGCTCATGTCTAGGATTCGTCAATATTGAACCTTTTCACAGTATTCTAACTTTCTGAGAAAATGTTTGTTTTTGCATTTATAAGCCATAATCATCAAAATTATAAGAAATAAAGGCTTGAAATATTTCACTCAGTGTGTAATGAATCCATATTATATACGAGTTTCATTTTACAAAGTGATGGACAAAAAATTTTGAACTTTGTCACAATAATCTAATTGTTTCAGATGCACCTATGAAGTTTGCAGCACGGTGGTGCAACGGGTAGAGCTGCTGCCTCTCAGCGAGCAGGTCCCTGGTTCAAACCCCGGTCCAGGGGCCTTTCTGGGTGGAGTTTGCATGTTCTCTCCGTGCATGCGTGGGTTTTCTCTGGGTGCTCCAGTTTCCTCCCACAGACCAAAAACATGCATGTTAGACTGATTGGTAACTCTGAATTGTCCCTAGGTGTGAGAGAGAGAGTGAATGGTTGTTTGTCTAGTTTGTCTCTATGTGGCCCTGTGATGGACTTGAGACCTGTCCAGGGTGTCCCCTGCCCCTCGCACAGTGATTGCTGGACATGGGCACCGGCGACCCCCGTGACCCAAAATGGAACAAACGGGTAAAGATAATGGATGGGCACCTATAAAGCAAAAGAACATGCTGTATTACCTTACTGATCCTGTAGGGGAACATGTGAGCCATATGGAAGTTCTCTGGACACTTCTCTAAAGACGCCAGAGTAGAAGATATGTTGATGATGGCTGATCTTCTGCAGGACATTTCATCACCTGAAACATAAACACAGAAAGATTTGCATCTCAACTTACAAATCGCTCTCTTGAAATGTGCTTCAGAGTACAGAAAATGGAAGATGTTTGCTGATAAACAAAAAACAAAAGAAGAAGCTGTTCATAACTTTTATGGACAGAATTTCTTGGTGCAGCAAGCAGGTGGAGGAGGTCATGTTCAACGGCCTCAGGATTCATCTCTACTCTCTGCAGATGATGTGGTCCTGTTAGCGTCATCGTGCCGTGATCTCCAGCTCTCACTGGAGCGGTTCACAGCTGAGCATGAAGCAGCTGGGAAGAGAACCAGCACCTCCAAATCTGAGGCCATGGTCCTCAGTCAGAAAAGGGTGGACTGCTCTCTTCAGGTCGAGGGTGAGGTTCTGCCTCAAGTGAAGGAGTTCATGTATCTCAGGGTTTTGTTCACGAGTGAGGGAAGAATGGAGCGTGAGACTGACAGATGGATTGGTGCAGCATCTGCAGTATTGTGGACTCTGTGCCGGTCCGTTGTGGTGAAGAAGGAGCTGAGCTGTAAGACAAAGATCTCTGTTTACTGGTCAGTCTACGTTCCTCCCCTCACCTCTGGTCATGAACTCTGGTAGAGACTGAAAGAATGAGATTGTGGATCCAGGAGGTTGAAATGAGTTTCCTCTGCAGCTGGACTCTCCCTTAGAGACAGGGAGAGAAGTTCAGTTATCAGGAGAGACTCGGAGTAGAACCACTGCTCCTCCACATCCAGAGGAGCCAGTTGAGCTGGTTCATCTGGTAAGGATGCTCCCTGAGTGTCTCCCTAGGGAGGTGCTCTGTGCATGTCCGACTGGGAGGAGACCCCGGGGAAGACCCAGGACACTCTGGAGAGACTACGTCTCTGTTGTTCTGGGAACACCTTGGAGTCCTCCCAGAAGAGCTGGAAGAGGCTGTGGAGAGAGATGTCTGGACCTCCCTGCTCAAGATGCTGCCCCCGAGAGCTGAGTCCAGAACAAGAGGAAGATGATTAATGGATGGATGGATGGATGGATGGATGGATGGATGGATGGATGGATGGATAATAAGTAGCATGCAGAAGCAATGGCTCATTTAATAATGTGGTGAACAAACTGAGGGTCTGTAAGTGATTTCATTTGACTTGAACAATGAGGACACATCAGGAGTACTAGTGTTATTTAATCTGGTTATTTTTCAGCGTCATGTCACCTCAGGGCACCGTTATAAAATGCCAATTAGTAAAATTATCTTTGTCTAAGGAAGTAGCAGATTGTGTCAAATCTTCTCTTCATCACAATCTCTCATCTTGAACAAGCATGAAGGTGACAGTGGAAAGAAAAACTCCCTCATGAGGAAGAAACCTTTAGCAGAACCAGGATCAGGACAAGAGGACCATCTGCTTCCACCGGCTGGGTTTGGTAGGAATAGATACACAATGGCAGGTCAAGAATCACGTTAAGATAGAAATAGTATCAAATGAAAACTTTTCAGTTTTAACGATTCATTTAAGGAAATGAGGTCAGTTTGTCCTCTAGTAGTCTAAGTCTATAGCAGCATAACAAGCCGACCCTAACTATAGGATTTATCAAGAAGGAGGATAAATTCTGCTGTAAGAATTTTTTTTACCTCCGTCTTTGCTGTCAGCACATCTGCTGGGTGTTTTCTGGAGGAGTGGCAGAAACATCTGGAAGGAGAAGTTGTCAACTTGTAGATCAGAGGAAACATCAAAGGTTATCCATATTTTGGTCAGTTTTAGAGATGTTCAGTTTAATGATTAGCCTTTTCCTAACATGAAACATCTCGTCTGTTCCAAAATAAACTGGAGCCAATTAAATATGTGCAATTTGAACATTTTCTCACTAATTTCACTACATCCTGTTCACATTTGACAAAGAAGTGAAGGCAGTGCTGAAATTTCAGAAGTTCATTAAGTGCACTGAGGCTGGACTATCCTACTCCGGAGTTGCCCAGGGAAAGAGGCGTCGGGCGGGTGTGGGGATCCTCACAAGCCCCCGGCTGAAGGCCTCTGTGTTGGAGTTCTCTCCGGTGAACGAGAGGGTTGCCTCTCTGAGGCTTCGGGCTGCACAAGGAAAGGCTCTGACTCATGTTTGTCATCCACCAAACATCAGTTCAGATTACCTGGCCTTTCTGGGGTCTCTGGATGTGTCCTGGAAGGGGTGCCATGTGGTGATTCCCTCTTTCTACTGTGGGCAAAGACACAATCATCTGGAAGGGGGTGACTGGGAGGAATGGTCTCCCTGATCTGAGCTCGAATGGTGTTTGCTTCTTGGACGTCTGTGTTAGGCACTGTCCATAATGAACACCATGTAGGAGCACAGGATGGCTCAGTGTACCAGGACGCCTTAGGCCAAAGGTCAATGATCGATTTTATAATCGTGTCATCGGACCTGCGGCCCTACGTTTGGACACTCGGTTCAAGACAGGAAGAGCTGTCAGCTGATCTCCACTTGGTGGGGAGTTGGATCTAGTGACAGGGGAGGCTACTGGACAGACCTGGTAAACCCAAACGCATAATAAGTGGACTGAGAACATCTGGTGGAGCCCTCAGTCCATACATCTTTCAACTCATACCCCCAGAAGAGCTTTTCTCATGTTCTGGGGGAGGTCAGGGACATAGAATTTGAATGGGCCACGTTCAGGGCCTCTGTGGTAGATGCTGCTTCTAGAAGCTGTTGCCTAAAGATCATTGGTGCCTGTTGAGGTGGCAACCAAATAACTTGCTGATGGACACCAGCAGTGATGGAGGCCGTCAAGCTAAAGAAGGAGACCTTAAGGACTTGGTTGTCCCAGAGAACTCCTGACTTACAGGCACTGGGTGGCCAGAAGGTCTGCAAGATGTGGTGCTTGCAGATGCAAAAACTCAGGCATGGGGGGAATTCGAGGAGGCCTCAAGGAAGTTCTAGTACACCATTTGGTGGATCAGAAATGGAACTCACACCCTATCCCAGGCTGTGCTTGGTTTGAGTGGGGAACTGCTGACCAGGACTAAGGATGTTGTTGAGTGGTAGAAGGAGCACTTTGAGGATCTCCTTCCACCCACCGTGTCCACACTTGAGAAGGCAGAGTTGAAGGATTCAGGGGGAGGAGTCCATTACCATGGCAGAGACAAAAAGCTCCACGCTGTCAGGGTGCTAGGGCTGGGCGAGATCCGCCCCTAGATGCTGAAAGCTCTGGATGTTGTGGGGCTCTCATGGTTGACAGGTCTCTTCAGTGTCGCATGGAGGACTGTGTCCCCTGTGGAGTGGCAGTCAGGGGTGGTGGTTTCCATTAAAGAAAGTGATCTTCTCCACAGTGCAACTCCTACCAACTTAAATATCTTGCACCAAGAACATTTAGGTTTACTTTCTCTGTTCAACTCCAGTCCAGAAAAACACTCATCTCCAAAATTACAAACATTCACTGTTCTGCTTCTTAAAGCATGAAGCAACTAAGAAGTCAAGTCATTGTGATGGTTCTACTTCCTAACAACTGGTTCCAGTACAGTCATTCCCTGTAAAAGTGTATTATGTTAAAACCTTGTTGAAGTCAACTTCAAGAGACAAACCAACCTTTGAGAGGACAAACTGTCCTACAACGTTGATTTCAAACGCCTCCATCATGTCACTTTTCCTGGTGTCCAGTAACGAAGCTGGGGGGACGGGTTTGTTCACAGCAGCATTGTTGATGAGGAGGTTTAGGCCGTCGGGTCCAATTTTCTGACTCACAGCCTGAACTGCAGCTGAGATACTGTCCTCGTCAGCCAAGTCTGCAACAACATTCATGTCTTCAGCTCTGCAGGCACACGGTCCAACACGCTCCTGGTCCTCTTCACAGTTTAGCAACATTCAAAAATAAGAGTACGACATCATTCACCCGCTGACAAACTGTTACTTCTGTAACAATGGTCGCCCAACAACGATCTTTCCTTTCAAACGTTGCCTTCAGACATTTTGATTCTAAAATCTTTCTCCGAGACAAAACTGCTATTTAAATGAAATAACATTTTTGTATCAGGTTGGCCTCCCTGTCCTCCAAAAATGATCAATTAAAAGAAATTATAAATGATATAATTAATGTATAAAAAGGTTAAAACACATTTAGATTATTCTGTAATGTATGCTCCTTTTTATGGAGTCAAATAAACTCTGCCCACACCTCTATGTTGTCTTTCATCATTTCATTCTGCAGGAACAGACCCCCTGTGACCCCCTTCATTTACGGCCGTACCACCCTGAACACGCTCGATCTCGTCTGGTCTCTGAGCAGGGTCGGGCCTGGTTAGTACCTGGATGGGAGACCGCCTGGGAATACCAGGTGCTGTAAACTTTTGTACTTCTTACAAACCTCATCAGGTGATGCGTTGTTCAAGACAAGAGCCATGGCCCATGTCAGCTCTCTCTCACCTCGGGACAATTTAGAGTCACCAGTCAGTCCAACACGCATGTTTCTGGTCTGTGGGAGGAAACTGGAGAAAACCCACGCAGCACGAGGAGAACATGCAAACTCCACCCAGAAAGGCACCCGAACCGGGATTTGAACCGGGGACCTGCTCGCTGAGAGGCAGCAGCTCTACCAGTTGTGCCACCGTGTTGCCCTGAATTTATGATTCAATGCAATAAAATAAACAAATGTAAAAAGTTACAGGTGATTGTAAAACTTGGTTTATTTACAGAATGACTTTAATTTCTGGAGGTCCGGCCCCTGAGCTGCTGCTCTCAGTAACTGTGGCCCCTGAGCTGCTGCTCTCAGAAACTGTGGCCCCTGAGCTGCTGCTCTCAG